AATTGCAGAGTTTTTATATTGTACAATAGAAAATTTTAATCTAAATAAAACGTATTAAAATTTTTATGATCAAAGCCGCCCAAAATTTTGTGGATGCTTAACTTTATATAAACATTTGAGATCAAGTGAACTCCACCAAACTTTTCTTAGAAGCGATTTTGACTATATCAATACATAATACAATAATATAATTATGAGTTTTTTTTTAACTTTAAAGCAAAATAACTAATAAAAATCAAATTGCTTTCTGAATAAGCGTTTCAAACTTCATGTAAGTAAGACGATTAAAAAATATGAAGAGAATTGCTACTGACACTGCAACACATACCTAATTCCCTAATTCTGCCATATTCTAACACCAACCTTAAAATAATACTGGCTATGCGGTGTTATTAAGGCTAGTACTGGTGGTGTCAGTAGTTATTTTCTTTATGAAATGCCATAAAAGTATTGGCATTAGAGTTACGAACATTAGAAATAACGTGTTAATCTTTAATTTTAGCCAATCAGGATTCTTGCAGATTAGTTAATAAAAGCATCGATTATATTATATATATTAGCCAATCATATGTTAGAATTCAGTCACATGATCAGCTCAAATAATCACATGATAGGGGCATGCCCTAGGGGCATGTCCCCTAGGGCATGCCCTTTAACCTCATGCCCCCAACCCTACCGTGGCCTCGCCATTTTTGATTTTTACCTATGATGTGCGACAATCCCTTATCTCGATTATCATCGGTAAATTCTATATTAGGATTCTTAGAGAAATAATTTGAATTTGACTATCAGACAATTCTGAAATCGAATTTGCACTATACGTTTTGATATATTTAACTTTATCAATTCCTATTGTTTCGAATAATTGGTAGATTTTTCTTGCCCTTTGAGTTTGCTTTTGTAATATATTATGTTTAGTACCAAGTTGTGTAATAATAAAATCATATATTTGTCCTTTCGCTTTTTTTCTCACCAACCTGCTCGTTTTTCATAATGTTTTAATTTGATTATAGAACTCAATTATGCAATGGTACCAGCATAAAATTTCATCTTGATTGGCCTTTATTGCTTATTTTTCCGCATCACAAGCTTTCCGGTATAAGCTGGCTAAATTTACTTCTTGATACCGAAAGTATAGTTATAGAATCTTTCTTATCATTATTTCCGGATACATGATTTTCACTGACGGGCGTCAGCAAAATTTCTGTCATATGATTTTTTTTAGATTTATTTTGTGGTGGTGAGCTCATGTTCTCAGATCGATTCTCATGAGATTCTGAACCCTGTTTGGATGAAGTAATAGTGAAATCAAACACATCATGAACAATGTCTTCTTTTACCAATGAACTATTAATCAGGCAAGGCGCTTCGCACTGATTGACTAAAGATAGATACTGGGTTTTATTTTTAGCAGATTCACATTTAAGCTTCTTTTCCCTATTCCTCTGCTTCATTTCATTACTAACCTTTTCCTTATTCTTTGATTCCAGGAATTCGTCGTTCTCTTTGTCTTCCAGTGATTTAGGATTGGATGGATGAGTATTGAAAGAATTGTCAGATGCCAACCCGTGCATAGTATTGTTTTGTGACTGTTCTAATTTTGCGACCCTGGTTTTGAGTTCGGCATTCTCTGCCATGAGGTTAGCGGTATCTGTTTTATTTTTCTTCTCTAACTCCCTGAATCTGGTCTTGAGCTCCGCATTCTCTTCTATAGCTTGTTTAAATTTTGCATTCTCAGCCTTGATCTCGGTATTCTCCTTTCTAAGTTCAGCAATCTGAGCTGAGAGCTTGAAATTCAATTCTCTTAACGAATCTATTGTGGCTTGAGTGTTTTTCATTGTTTATACAATATGTGAATATATTTAAAAGTTTAATTACAACTGAAATTTCACTGACGCCCGTCAGTGAAAAAAATGCTACGAAAATTTCAATAATATATAAACATGACACTCGTACAATGTAATATATTCACGAAATACAAATGCAAAAGTAAACACGATTATGCATGTGAAATCGGCCACCAGGGCCAGCTTTATTGATACAACAAAAATAATAAACCACTGAATAAAATTACAAGATAAAGAAACATTCCAGAAATTTACGCATTTAGACAAAATAAAGGTTCGCTCCGGAATTAATTTTTTTATGATAAAGTGTCATAATTGGTTTAGGAAACTTTGTTATTCACAAAGCTAGTATTATCGTTAAATCAGATACATTATTGAATTAATAATTATGAAAATTTATTTATTATTAGAAATTTAATATAAAAAACAGAATATAAATGGTTCTTCTTGTAATCGATCAAGAACAGTATTAAGAATGTATATAGGAAGGTGAGCTTTATCGGTTAGTATAATAGGAAATATGGACATAATCGCCCTTTCGATCGTCTTAAGAGAGAATCTTGAGTTGTCAGGAATCACTATAACCCCGATAGCCCCACTATTCTCGGGCCCCATCTAGCTCTCGAACGACTGAGGGAACTAATAAACATTATCTTTTAGTATTGTTAAAATACTTTATAATATAATATGATATTACCTATAGGTCTTTCCCAATTTTTACATTGGAATACAAAATCGATTCCACGAATACGCGCGCTCCTCCGTCATTCTTACCACTATATAAACGATAATGTGAGTATTTGTTCAACCAGGTATGCATCCTATTTTGCCATTAATTCCCCAGGGCTAAGCCGATTGCGGGAACATTGGAAGCCAAAAGAAGAACGTTCAACTGTCGAAACAGTCGGCCACGGCGCACTTTCAATTCGTTTGGACCAATGTGGAACGTATTTTCGGATACAAAACGATTAGACAAGCACTCAATGAGGAAAAAAACTCATCCTATATAAATAACTTCAAAATTGAGTCTTTCAACAACTCAACTATTTCCAGTTCAAAATTTCTCCCCTTAGCAACTTGCGACAACTCAACTTCCACAGCTTCCACCTAGAGTTAATACCTGGATCCGGATCCAATTATTTATATCCGGATCTTATTATTAAGATCCAGATCTCATCATAAGATCCGAATCTTATAAGATTCGGATCTTATAATAAGATCCAGATCTTAATAACGATAATAAGATCCGGATTTACATAAGTCAATGTGATTAGTTAGTGTTACGCATTTGGCCTTTATCAGAGAAGTACGCTGTACTTCAAAATTAACGTAAAGTAACAATTTCTAAAAACCCAAGCCTTCAATTAGTTATAGATTTGTTCAACAAGATTCACAAAAGTAAGCGTTTAAAATTCTATTCAGAGCAACAAGATCGTCAGAACAATAATTTGCAATATCTAGAAATAACGATGCTTCGGGTTTGTAAATGTGTTTAGTATATAGTATATATTTTTTTTCATTAATAATGTATATTTTATTTATATATTTATGCTTTTAAACGAGCTTGTGTGCTTTATAGTTATTATATACTACTGTGGTGTCATATTGGCATCTTTTCTTAGAATGTTTGTTGAGCATAGTGGTATGTTTGATCTCATTCTTAAAACTGTTAATTTGAGCAATATTCTTTTATTAGTATTACTAAATCATATATATTTATATCTAATAATATCTTATTAAATAAAATTTTATTAGAATAAGTTTGCCAAATAAGAATGAGATTATTTATTATCAGGAGGAAACATGGTGTGATGATTAGAGTTTCTTTTTAAAAACAACATCTTATCTACCAAACTAGGGTCAAGATGAGTTCTTTTAGCAGAAATATGAATGTTCACATCAGAAAACAAGCATTCTGATAGAACTGATGTAGCGGGAATTGACAAGTATTTATAGGCAAGTTGGTTAAGAAGTGAAAAACTTATACGTCTATCTTTCCACCATATTAAAGGGTTTTGGTTTTTATGAGCTAATGGTTCTTTCATGTATTAGGTTAATTCATTTTCAGTAGTAATATTATTAGACAGTAACAATGATCTCATAATTCAGCATTTAGAAAATCTTGAAGATCTTTATTAATAGTTACTGTACTTCTTTCTACTTTAGTATTACTTGAAACATTTAGTTGTGTTTTAAGTAATGATAATTTAGCACGGATTTGGGCTTCAGTTTCTTCTTGTTTTTGTGCTGTTGCAAATAAAAGTAATTTTAATGCTTGGGGTTTAAAATAAAAGTTTTTAACCCCATTACATTAGATGTATTTTTCATAATTCATCAATAGACAAATAATAGCAGTCTGTGCTTTTTCCAGCAACTCAAAACAATTTACAAGTAATAAATACTCAACAGTATTAGAATCTTCTAATTCTGTTAGTGGTTTTTTTTTGCTTTTTATTTTTTTATGGTTTGAATGATCTTTATTATAATATCTACTTTAGTGTGCATATTGTCATTGTTGTCGATTTCTTGCTGATGATATGTTAGCTTCATTTTTATTGCTAAGACTTGAATCACTAGTATCTGACTTCTCTGAGTTATAGATTAGATTAATTCAATCTTCAAATGATTTGCCTTTTTTACTTCTAAGTATGAATTTATTTTTTAAAGTATAAATATAAGGATATACAAGATTCAAAGTAGAATATTTTAATCTACAAATATGCCTTGTAATTTCTTCAAATAGTTTTAAAAGATTAACCATTTGCTCTATAAACCTTTTTTTTTTTAAAAAAAAAATAATAAATTAAAAATTAAATAAAAATTAAAAAATTATAATAATCGTACACATGAACTCTCTCTGATAATCACTTGTACCAAACTTACGGCAAATGAAAACAAAAACTTGTTGGAGAAAAGTAGAAGAGACAACTACAAATAACAGTTTTTACAGAGGTCAAGGTTTTCTTTTTTTTCCTGGACTCCTCTGTATATTCAGTATGCAAGTTAAAAGTGTTTCTGTACAAGATAACTGGCGAGAAGGTGTTGGTACCCTTGTACAGAAAATTTTAATAGAAGTTCTGCTTCTGCTGATGAAGTTAAAGATAGTTGGTTTAAGGAGAACAACAAGCGAGTTTTCAACACACTCACTGCCGAAGTTTAAGAATACCTGCAAACCAAAACACTACACCAAACTTCACTCTTGAACTTTTCAAAATTTTTACCAAAAAGTGGGAAAAATGGCATACCCCCATCGATTGATCGACAACAACAATTACTGCCAAAAAAGGAAAGTCACATACAGGAGTACATGTCTACTTTTGGATAATAGTGTTGCATTGGTTACCTCAAGAGGTTACGGTGTTTACACCGAGATCTACAGAAGTTGAAAAAGCGTAGATCGCTTAACTTTGCCCAGAAACAAGCACTAGCACAAGAATATGTTGCAGAATACCGCACCGAACTCGGTGGGACCACAAGAGAAATTTCAGACTTGGCCTCTACTCAAGAATAGATATTTTATATATTTCAATATAAACAATAAGTAACTAACATAGAGTTTAGACTAGATTATTTAGTAGTCTATATAATTTTTACAATCTAGCACAGGTTTAATAGTGCTATCTTTGTTTTCTTTTCTTTTATTTTGTTTTTCTTTTATATGTTTTTTTT